CTTCACTCAGTATCTGGGACTACCAATAATAGAATAACTACTAGTAGGGTGTATTTTAGCAAATGATTAGCAAAGAAGACAGTATAGGATTGTACACTGGCTATGAGCACAGGCCCTGGATGGCTTTGCCACTTGTTACCCGTGTGGCCTTGGGCTAGCCCTATATGAAACTCTCCCCGAGCCTCAGTTTCCTCATCTGTAATTTGGGAATGATAATAGGATCTACTTCGGAGGGTTGCTGTGAAGACTAAATAAAATAATCCATAGTAAATGTCTAATTTTTAATGAACATAAAGCGCATAGTATGATGCCTAGCATATAACAGATATTTAATAAACAGTAACTGATATTATACCTTATAAACAGGACAACATAATAAGTATACACATGCTGCAGAAAGGCTGGATAAATTTCAGAAAATAACACATGATTTGGAGTCTCTGAAACAAAGAACTCACACTGTAATAGATCTTGGGACAGGGGCTTATGCAAGGTGTTATCAACAAAGGTCCTTCCATCAAATCTCTGAGCGCCCTCGCGCACGTCAGCTAGCTGGTGTCCATGGCACCACTGTGCACGTATACACAACCTGCAGCTCCAGGGAGGGCAGCTATTCTCCTTGGTGTCTTTTCCCTAGGGTTTCTTTAATGATGGTGTCAAAACTACAAAAGAATACACAGGAGGATGGGGAGAGAGGCTCACACAATTGAAAGAGGACCATACAATTCCATAAATATTTATTGAGCACTACTGTGAGCCAGGAAAAATCCCTCTCTTTCATGTGGGCAACTTCAATAGCGACTCCATAAACCTGATTTTGCTATTCTAAGATAAACTTTCGCCTTATCTGTAAGTTAACAGGGCCAACATTTGTGAATTTTCCTTTGAGAGGCAAATTCAACATTGTGGACATGGTTGGATTAGACCCGACCAGAGTAGATACAACTGAAAACAGAATCACCAGAGAGTTGGCGTGGTTCACCTGGGGCTGAGAGAGTGGGCAAGAGGAGCTGAGTTTATATATGGCAAGATTCTGTGATCACATTCAGGCAGGAGCTCAAGCTTCCTGGCCTGGCCTCCGACGTCCTCCATGATCTGGCTTCTTCATCTCTCCCGCTTTCCCAGGTGCTCCCTAAGCATCGTGCACACAAAATCCCACCCTGCACACAAAATCTGATCCATCCTCCCTGCCTTGTGCCTATTCTGTATGGAATGGCCATTACCCATTCAACTCCCAGACTGGACCCGCCATTGTGTGCATGTCTTTCTCTCAAGCCAGAAGCTGCTGGAGGGCAAGGAGGGAATCCCACTCACATCCGTACGTGTAACTCCAACCCAGGGACTGCAGATAGAGATCCAGTAGGAAACAGTGAGAAGAGTCCAGAATGAAGGCTGGTTTCAAACGGAATCTCTGTTTCAAATGCTAGCTTACTAGCCACTAGCAAATGCCACTTACTAGCCATATGACCTTGGATAAGTTCACCTCTGTGTACTTCAATTTCCTCTTCTGTAAGATGGAGACAATGAGGCACTTAATTGGGTTGTTGGGAAAATCAAATCACTGTAGATACATAAAGCACTTGGAAGAGTGCTTGGCACAGGGTTAAGAGTTATGTAAGGCTTCATTATAGCTGTTGACGTTCACTATCCTGGTTGTTAAATGTGTGTGTGATAAAAAAAAAAAAAAATGAAGGGGGAAGGGAGACTGTGTCCTGTAGCCAAGCAAACGTTGAATTCACATGCTGGCTCAGTGCTGCCCTGCTAAATGGACTGTCCGGTGCCGCCCCTCACTGTGCACTTTCAAAGGAAACACTGAGCTTTCACCCTGGCTGGTGTTCATGACCTCATTTCTTACCTGGGCTCCCCGTCCACCCCAGCCAGTCGGGTACTCTCAACTCCTGCGGCAACAGCACTGCACGAAATACAAAGGACACCAAGCCTTGTGTCCCAGCCCTGGTCCTCAGACACCAATGCTGAGCATTACAGATGATCTTGTCCAACATCACTCCTGAAACATATGGGGAAACTGAGGCCTGGAGAGGTTGTGTCTGTCTACACTTTGTTAGTGACTGCTTTTCATGCAGTCAACTTTATGGTAGGTACTAACAATACTAAAATCATAATTAAGGCTGGAAGGGACTTAAAGTTTACCTACTCCAGTACTTTTCAAACTCCACATTCTAGAGTGTCAAGATGAAATGTGAGCTCTGTGGCAAGTATTTCATTCATTCATCTGGTAAATATTTATGGAATACCTATGATGTACCACAAGTCAAACACCACTCCTGTCCTCAGCACCTCACAAACTCATAGGGAAGAGTGATATTAATAATCACACATCTAATAGGAAAGTCCTGTTGTGACTGAGTTTGTTTTAAAATATACCAGAAGGGGTATCTCCACTTATATGCCAATATACTTTCTGGGCGAGAGGAAGAAGGCGAGGTTGGGGCGGTGGGGGGAGTTACAGGTAATGCCTGGCAACTGCCCACTCCACTGGGTTTACCAGCACCAGGGTCTCATGTAGACTAACATGACATGATGTCACCAGAGAGCCTGGGAACCACTGAACTAGCCCAACTCACCCCCACTGAAAGACAGGCAAACTAAGAGGCTTCAAGAGTTTAACTCACTGGTCAAACTAGCATAGTTGATAAATGGAAGAACCTTAAAATCTTGTAGTGGCTCACACAGCCTTCCAAAAAACAAGTCCACATCCCACAGCATGACCTGTGGTCTGTCCCCCGCTCCTTTCTCCAGCCTCACCTCACCACCATCCTGCCGCCCACTCACCTCCAGCCATACTGAGCTACATGCAAAGCCCCAAATGTGCCTCTGCTGTGCCCATACTATGCCCTCTACCAGAGATTCGAACTCAATGGCCCTAAATAACTCCTACTCCCTTTCGGCACTCAGAACTCAGCTCACATCTCTCTCCTCCAGGAAGCCCTTCGTGAGATGGCCCTCTTCTTCTCCCACAGCACGTACACCTTTACATAGGGACAGGGAAACACTCATCACACAGCGTATCCATCCATTCAACAAGTATTTATTGAACACCTTCTGTGTGCCAAGCACCTGAGGATATGGCAATAAATAAAACAAAGCCCCTGCCCTCGTGGGGCTTACATTCTAATGAGGGAATAGGTAACAGAGTGTCAGGTAGAGTTTTGTGCTATTCGATAAAAGAAAGAAGAGGAACGGTTGGTGGAGGGACAGATTGTGGGGGAAGGCTTCTCTGAGGAGGAAGCATTTGCTCAGAGATGGAAAGTGACAATAAGACATGCAAATACCTGGGAAAAGAGCATTTCAGGAAGCAGCAGCAAAGACCTTCTAATCACTGCAATGATTTCTTTGTGTTTTTTCCCTACTGAACTGTAAGGTCCTTGAGGGCAAGGGTTACATCTTAAGCATCTTTGATTTCCAGAGTCAGCACCCACAGCAAACACCCGTGGACCGAGTACCTGAACCTGGCATGCATGCCTGCTGGTTTCTGAGTCCATCTGGTTCCATCTCGCAAGATCTAGCCAGCTTCATGTCTCTCCCTCCCACAGCGCTAAGCCGAGAACAGCTCTCCTTGCCTGATTCTCAGCCTTGCCTGACTCTGTGGCCTGGTTTCAGTCCCTGGATTCTCTCTTTATTAGGACCATGGCACTGACAAGTTCTCCAATTTTATCTTGTTCTGGCCCAGACCTGGGACCCTGTCCAGAGCTGGGAGCCTCCCTCCAGGTTTCCTAGGCATGGAAGTCCTCCTCTGAATCCCAAGCCCCAAGCCTGGGGACCCTGACACCTGGAGTCAGACTTCCCCAATGGCTAACCCCTCCCTACCTGGACGTCTGCCCTGCCTGATTCTTGTCTTCCCTCCAAACCACACGTCTCCTTCCTGTTGGGACATCAACCCTCTGACCTCATCAATCCTTTCTGCGGCCATCTCTCCATATGTTCCAGCTTCATAAAACCATTCCTGAATGTCTGCCATAGCCAAAGCACAGAGCTAAGCACCTGAGTCTTTCACGTCACCTGCTGCGGATTCCTGTTACACCAGCAGACCATCTGGATCTAAGTCTCTAGACTTGACTGCCCTAATCACAATCCCAATATTCCCGAAACCCTGTTTAAAAAGCCTTAGAAGCTGAAAATAAAGTCAAATGGCTTTATCCACTCAGCCAACTGCGACAGACACTCCTGGGTGTCTTTGGTGCTTCATTCCAGCCCCCACTAGGTCTAAAATGGGCTCAGGGAGGAATAACCCATTCCTTCATCCACCCTTTCAGCCACCGCTCATTGACACATGCTATAGCCACATGCCAAGGCCTAGAATGTAAAATACGGTTCCTGCACTGATGATAATGGTGGTGGTGGTGATGGTGATGGTGACGGTGATGGAGGAAGAGAGAGGAGACGGTGCTAAGATTAGTTACCATTTATTGCACACTTGTGCTATGCTACAATAAGCAATGAGTCTTCTAATACTAACAAAACTATGAGACACTTATTAGCTTCGCTTTACAGAGAAGGAAATAGGCTTAAGAGGTGAAGCGACTTGCTCAAAGTCACACAGCTAAGTGGCAGGGTGTGGTGAGAACCTAAGTCTGTCTGCCTCCAAAGTACAAACTGTTCACTGCTATACAGTTAAGTGCTGAGCAAACAGAACTTAAATGAAGAAGTGAAAGAAAGAGTCCCGGGCCCCGAGGACTCAAAGCTGGTGCAGGAGACAGACACATATAAATAGGCTAAGATCTACAATGCAGGGGAGTGCTGATAGGTAGAAACCAGAGCTGTAGGGGAGCCAGGGGAAGAAGCTGTGGCTAACTTGACCTGGAGCGGGCTGAAAGCCTTCTGGAGGAAGCGACTTTGGGGCGAGGCTTTCAAGGATGAGCACTTGGAGCCTGGCGCTCGGCAGGAGCTCAGCCCTCAGCCCTGGCCTGGGCCGCGCCGGGTCCTCCGAGGTCGAACTGTCCACCCTCCCGCCGTGCCCACGCGGCCGGGCCAGGCCTCACCTCCTTCCACTTGAGCTGGCGGATGCTGATCTTCAAGGCGTCCAGGGAGGTCCTGGCCTTGGAGCTGTCCACAGTGACGGGCCGCTGGGAGTGGTACTCGTCCGCCGCGCGGCCTGAGCTCCGTCGGCCGCCCCGGCCCTTGCTCCGGGGCTTCCCGTGCGGGCAGAGGCCCGGCGCCCGCGCCGCCTGCGGCTTGGCCGGGGGCAGCGTGGGCGGCGGCCGCGGGACAACGCGGGCGTCCCCCTCCTCGGCCGCGCGGGGCTGCGCCGGGGCCGGGTCCTTGGGCTGCTCCTCTGGCGTCTTGCGTTCCGGCTCCCCGGCC